AACAGATTTAGCTTTAGGCCTAAATAGCTTTTGATAATACATTTCATTACAATAAATAAGTTCTAGAGAAAAATTTGAATGGGCTAAATATGGGATTTCGTCAAATAGTGCTCACATTGAAAAATAATGGTGGAAGGGAAAGAGGCATAATTTAGTATTTCAGATCCTTTATCCATCTGAATTACGGTCAAACAATGGCGGAACAAAATGGTGATCTGTTCCAATTGCTTGACACAAATAAGCCAGTTATAAGAAGCAAAATCTGTAGTGATGGGAAAATATTGTAGTGAAAAATTGATGAGAAAAAGCTTTAGCCTAGTTACAACTGCAAATAGCCAAAGCAGAAATGATTGTTAGTAATTTATGCTATTGGTGAAAGAAGAAAATGGAAGAAAAAAGGTGCTTGAAATCAGTAATTTTCAATATTTATTGAATTTTTCCACCTGATGCTTCTTAAGAATTTTAAATGAATATAAAAAATAACTAATAAAAATGAATGATACCATTCAGATTAGAGCCGACGGCAATTTGCTTATCTTCCTTAGCAAATTTCGAACTTTGTGCATGTGTGACGAAGTCTTAGACTGATATTTCAGCGCTAAATGCTCATGGACACCAGACGATAACCATCTATACTTTCTTTAAATATTGTTTATTGCACATCGTTACTAATCTTTCTCATGTGCAATTATATTTTTGACTGGAGGCTATTTCATTCGTGCTTCAGATAATTCGAGACGAAATGCCGTTCGCTTGCTCAGTTCTCATTATGTGAAAGCCAGTTAACGATGGTTTATGGATTACAGAGGCTGGTTTATGGATTACTGAAGCTTTTACACTGGTATGTGCAACCTATTGCTTTCAGCATTAAGGAGATGCTCGCAGCAATGCAAAATATGGATGTAAGGTTTAATTATTTGGAATATTTTGAAATTTATATATAATATTTAAAAAAGTACTAGAAGTTCTTGGCTTATGCACTGACCGCCCATCGATCTCCGCACAAATTTGCTGCCGAATTGACCCTCTTTTTCCATGCATGCTGTCAACTGTATATTCTATCGTTATATCATTTGAGCGAATGAATGGTGGAGTGATGAGAGTGTGGTTAAACGGTTAATAAGTTTTATATTTTTATTTTTATACCATTATTGAAATCATCAAAATTTTTCCAATTTTCGCAAAGTCGTTCTCTTTTCTTATTTCCAATAACACACCGCTTTCGCTGTAATGGTACTGCTGTGCGAAGAAATTAATGCAAAATAAGGATGTACCAGTGGATTATGAAGTTCGCTGTGAAAATCAATATGTTTGTCAAACCATACGCTTGCGAGCCGCCAACAGAAGAAGAAACAATTTCCGTTATCCATAAGTTTAAGATCAATAAGACTACGGGAGAAGATGGTCTTCGGGCTGAAGTCTTCAAATGTTATCAATCGTCCTTCATAACGCACCTTCAACAAATATACCCTCTGGTTTGGAAAAAAAAATCAGCCTACTAAACATTAGCAAAGTTTTTGTTTCCCATTTACTCAATAGACTTATGGCAGTACGGGACAGGAGGATGCACTTTAATCAAGTTGAGTGAATAATGGACAACGCTTGTCGGCATTCAAGAGGTATGCATATTAGTCCAGAGCATAATATCTCAGACCTTGAATACGCTGATGATGTAGCCCGTTTTGGTGACAGTTATAATGAAATGCAAATAATATTAAAATATTAAATAATGTGCCAAAAACTGCAGCAAGAATCGGACTCAGGGTCAATGTAAATAAAAGCCTTTTCGCCTTATATATAAAAAACTAATATAATGCCTCTTTTTATAAATTCACTCTTTTGAGGAAATACCCGATTTTAAATACCTTGGATCTAATACTGAATGGCCAGGCAAAAGGCGATATTACACCTCGATTATGGCAGCTAAAAATGCGTTCTTCCGGTTGACGGAATCTTTATGGAGTCGTGAAATCATCAAAAAAACGAAAATCCGCATCTATATAGCCGTAATTCGTTCGATCTTGCTAAATGGCTGTGAGAGTGGAGAGTATTAAGAAGTTATCTGCCTTTGACTGCTTATGTCTAAGGTACATTTTATGGGTTCGACGAGTGAATAAAATCCCACTTGATCGCATCCACCTTCGTTCGAATACCACTTGCATTAAGAGTAACATCGTCTTCGCTATCTAGGGCATTTCTTCGTCGCGCACCACAAGAGTTCACATATATTTCGTTACTTGCTAATAGGTGGCGTCAAAAGTGAGGTGGGCCAACCTGGATTGATGGTCAGGAAAGTCTTGAACCTATAGGTGGAACAGCAATACATAGATTTAGACGATGGAAAAAGCAATGACTTCTATTAGTGTGGACGATGGTATCAGATCGCGCAGTTTGAAAACGTCTTACCCTTGTAGTCAGAGGAGCCAGCCCTATTCACTAATGGTGAGAGCTGTTAGAAGGTGGAGAAGTCCATCTCATTCATTAGGAACAAAACGATATAAAAAACATTGTTGATAATCGTCTTCAAGTAAAGCCATATCTAAATTGGACACCTCTACAGCAAAAGATCTTTCCACTGAAAGAATCAAGAGCATAGCAGAATCGCAGTACCAGGAAGTTGAGAATCTATGCAAACAAACTTATTCAAGAATTTTATAAAGGATTTGAAGCCATATAATAATTTGTTTTTATCTTTATTCTTACCATTTTACTATAGCGAATTAAGGAAAGCAATCTTTTCTTCAAATTTGACATTAAATTTATTTATCGCTTTCCACTAGCAACGTTTTCTACTGGTTCATTTACAGTAGTTCGCTTCAAAAATGAATCACCATTATCAATTCAACCATGACTGAAGATATTATTAAACAAAACCGATGTGCCGTTTGCCGCAGCAGGTCAACAAGTTTGCATTATGGTGCAATAAAATGTGAAGAATGCTCGGTAATTCGGTTTTTTATATTTATTTTTTGAATCGCATTCAAGGCTCTTTAATTTTTCAATTTTTCCCGGTGTTTTATAGCTTGAAATTAATAAGTTATTTTGCATTTATTATTTGGGCCTGGTGTTAGGAATTAAATGTGGCAAATACCTCCTTAAAACGTATCGTAAAACGTATCGCTTTAAATCATTTAAATTATTTTTGGAGGCTAATATTAATATTAAGGAGAAGAAAAATGTCTCATACTATTAATTTATGACTGTATTATTTCATCCTTTGTAAATGAAGTCCAGTTGATTTTGTTTATTATTATAATAACTGCGTATCCATAAATCAAAATGGAACAATAGCGCGACCAGCTTGCCGAGACGAAAAAGATGTTCAGATTATAGGTGCGTGTATAAAACCGCATTAATTGAAACGGAAACCATAAATTTAAAAATCAACCGATCATCTAAAATTTGATAAAATTCAAGATCTATTTTACTATGTGACATAATTGCAAAAATTTGAATAAATAGCAAAAGTTTGAATAAAAAATAATGGAAATCAGAATTTTTTATTATTTTCAACTATGCATGGTTGCTATCTTACGCAACTATTAATTTTCTCATGCTTCTTATTTCCAGTATATGATTCAACAGTTCTGAAGATCCCATCTGACCACATTTCTTGTTTGTTATTTTAATCTATTTTTATTTACATCATTTGGTTTTTTTCTTGCATATGGACGAAATAGTCGAGTTATTGTTGCTTTCATTCCGATCTTCACGGTTTGATCGCAGATGGCAAGAGCATATTATTAAGAAATCCGGGTGATGTTGGCAACTCACCTGTGCTTCCCGGGCAAAATGGTACTAATAACCAGTGAGATGAACCAGTGAGGTGAGGTGAGAATGCATACGTTCTCAATTACAACAAACTCAAAAGAGCTTCCATAAATGGTATCAAGTGCGGCAAGCCATATACCCAAGCTATTGTCCTGCATAGATCTAGATTCTCTCAGTCGGATTATTATGAGAACATGGATACACATTCAAAAACGGCATTGCCATTAACTAACACTACATGGATGAAGTTATTTGCTAAAACGAGACTCGCTCATCTATCTAACGCGGATCCTCAGCGAGGATGCTGATGTTATTCGGATTAGAGAAATGTAACCATTTCCACCTTCAATATAAAATTGCCGTTTGAGATATTTGTCCGTATGCTGAACAGAGAGAAAAAAGGAAGAGATTTTGAAACTTTGTGTGATGTATACTTATATACTGAATGTATGAGTTTAGCTTTAGCTTTTCCTTAATTACTTTGAAATAAATGAACTAATTATAAATAATCGATTTTAGCCGACATCGTTGATGAATATGAAAAGTATGATATTTTACATATGGTTTCAATGTTCTCAGATACTATCCATTTTTATAAAAATTTATTGCAACAACTATCAACTGGAAATAAATCACTAAATAAGAGAGGTGAAAATTTGTGTAGACAATATGATACCAGGTAGCGCGACTAGATGCACTTCTGCCTTCAAAATGACAACTGCCCCCCTAACTAAAAAACCCTCATCCTAGCAGCCAGTAAAATAAATTAAATAAGGTGAACAATAAGGAAAGGATATAGATCATATAATATGATATTTGCACCTATTGATCCAAAAATATTTAAGAGCACTTCCAGATATACAAAATTCAGAGACAATAAAGCAGGCATTACTTGACCACACTCAAGCGCAATCATGGTTGACTCAGAAGTATAAAAAAATTAGAAATCATACTGAAAATCTTGCAAGAATTGGTAAGTCAACAGAGTGAATAAGATGTTTATAAATTTCATGAAAACGAGCCTAAAGGGCCTAACGTCTAATTTTTTTGAAATTTTAAAAGCAATAGAGTAAAAGTAAGTAAAAGTAAAAATGAAAGAGCCACTGACCACTAAAAAGACAAAAAGCATATACATCTGTAAGATTTCAAATTAGCGCCACAAAACATTAGGCAATAAAAAAACAAAATAAATTAGCAATTAGAGATAGAAAGGACGAATAATTTCAGGTATGAATAGATGTTTTCATGATTTATTGCGCGTAGCTACTGTTGCTTCAAGGGCATTTATTAGCCATATGCTATGTAAATGGTCCCACCAAAATGCAACATACAAGCAGCGACATTGTTTAGGTTTGGAACAAAATTAAATAGAAATATAAAATTTTCAATATTTATATACAGCAAATTACAAGATTTTGTAAAAAAATGAAGTATCTCTTTTAAAAAACTAATGTTGGTCATCCATCCATGTAAAATCAGAATCTATAATCCATCAGTAGAGTAGCATGTTGCTTCGAATAAGGCCAAAATCATCAAAACCTTTTATTAAAACAGAAATACAGTAAGAATTAAGAAATCCTATGCTTCTACCTTTCTCTCTTACGAAAGAATTTCATTATTACCGCCAATGGATCTAGCTAAGCCAAGAATGGTATTGCATGGTTCTTTTTTAAGAATCTCACCATTACTAGTTAAACTCAGCTCACTTGTCGCACTGGACAAATATACCAGAAAGTGAGTCACCAGCATCAACCGGATGGCCTATTGAATAAAGAAACAAACAAAATTTTAAATACAAAAAGAAAATTGATCAATAAAAGAAGCAAAAAATTAATGTTGCAAAACTGAAAAAAAAGAAAGAAGCACCATCGAATTTCATCTATCTTCCATTAAAGCTAATCATAGATACTTCTTAGAATCATGGTATCATTCTCGATTATGGGCACTTAAAATTTTCGATTCATGGGGACGTCTTCCAGCTGGTTTCTATTCAACGGGTCCATTTTTCTGGTTGGGAGCATATGATCAATGTTTAGCAATCGAAAATGATGGAAGGAATCAATCAGTAAAATACTGTCGTATCAATATGAATATTATCCTAGGTCCACGCCACAGGATATTTCCGCTATTTTATGATAAGTTTTTCTTTCAAATCAATTTTTTGCACCGCTATGGCCAACTGAGCTTCGTCGAGAATGACCACCAACATGGTAATATTTCATAAGTTTATCGAATTCTGCGCGTAAATTTCAAGAGTTTTTCTTTGATAGTGTCATTAAAACGTCATTTGTACTCCTTATAACTCCTCATAACGCTCTTCTGACAATGAAAATAATTACTTATTCTGAAATAAAACTAAAAAAAAATCGAGATCACACAAAATTCCACTTTTTTTTGCTTTTTTAAGGATTTGTTTGACTGGGGAATGCACATTTGAAAATATTATGGAGATTATACATTCTTTAAAGGCCTTAATAGGTTTGAAGATTGAATTTCCGAGAAATTCTCCGCTAGAATGCCGTTCAGTTGAGCCGCATAAGCGAAAATTTAATCTAGAACAGGTTATTTTAATTAATTTTAGCCAATTAGTTGAGGCGGAATAGTTTTGGCGACTAACTGCACTTTTATCGCCAAACTATTTACTGTTAAAATTTTCTACCATGCTAATAACCAGCCGAGCTAGTCTAATTAGGAATGGTGAGCGCTAATCACCCACTTATTATTTTTTATTCTAGATATTGTGATCTCACTTAATTACTTGGTATTCTAGATATTATGACATTGGCTGTTGGCTACTGAAATTTTTTTTCAGTTTTTTTCATAAATAATTGCTTCAAATCTTTCTCCGTTATTTTTTAGCAGATCAAAGGGTGGGTTTAGTTCTTTTATCCACTATTTTATATTTTAATTGTAACCAATTGAAACTTTTTTCAGTGGTTCACTATAATGTGCTTTACTCTATTACTCACATTGTTTTTTTTTGGAACTATTTTACGTTTTCGTTCCCATCAACAAAGAAATGTTTATTACGTTGAGGGTAAAGTTTTTAGGATTTTGCGACAAAAATTTCATTTTACTTTTCTTCTGTGAAATTTTTTATCTTTGCGAATCCATTTAATAAAAATAATTTACTGTTCCATTAATTCATTTTATTAAAATTGGTTGTTGGAAAAAGCAAAATTCCATCATAATTACATCAAATTCAATTCCGAGGTTTTATCTATATTCAGTATCTGACAATTTGGACAAATTTCAGAAGATCATCAGCAGGAATCTCAAATTCATACCGAATATTACTTGACAAATGTCAGTTATGAATGTAACTGGAGAAATACGTCTATTTCTCAGGCTTCCTCATATGCTATAACATACAAAAGTATGGTAGCACTTCAGCGGACAATCAAAAAGAATTCGTTATTTACGCATATTGTAAGTTTATTTATTGGTGTAATAAATTAAAAAAAAGGATGAGAAAGATGGAGAATCTTTGCAAATTTTCCAGAGGCTTGAAATATTTTTTAAAAATTTGCGGCTAATATGATTTTCTATTTCACTTAGAAATTTTTGGGTAAATCATGCCCGTTCTTTAAAAAAATAGATTAATGTATTTATAGATTGAAGCTTTTGGTTTATTTTCGACTTTACATTATCTTTTCCGCCCAAGTCATCATCATCTGCGTTCAATCCATGGGATTCGTGCTTTCAGCACTCTTTGGGTCGGTGAAATTTCATATCTACAGTGGAAAAATATTTTTTACCGATCGAAGGATTTTTTGAGTGCTATACATTTCACTTAGTATAATATAAATTTGTAATATTTAAGTTTATAATTACCAATCTAACTTATGATTATTTTATAGTCCTTAGTCACTACATTGGCTGAAAGTTTTTTTGACCATTAGTGGTTTGTTCTTGAAGTTTGTTAAGTGAGGATGTGGCCAGGAAAGGGAAAATTATGTATCAAAGACTAAATCAAAGATATGAGCAGATCAGGTATTGTAGCTGCTGCTAACTTCGTTGAATAGCAATAGGAATTATTTTTCTGATTTGCTGGCGAAAGAATGATAGTTGAGCCAGCTAAATCAGAAATGGTGAGTGTTATAGAAGGAAAAATCTCGTGAAATATCGTCTTCTTTGGTAAAACTAATGGATTAAACAAATAAAATATATTATCAAGGTTTAAGCAAAGAGGCTTGAAAAACAAGGTTAATAGAGTCAATTACTATCATACATTTCGATGGCTCCCGTTTTTTAAAATTTGCGTCAAAAAATTGAGAAAAATTCCAATATTTTATTCCAACGAGAAAATTTTTATCACAATCTGATGTGATTACATTTGATTTTATGAAATAATTTTTTTATTTTTTCGATTTTTATTTTTCGATAATATATTTTATTTGTTTAATCCATTAGTTTTATTAAAATTTACTCATTCAGCTCCACATTCTGCCATATTTTATTTGTGTTAAAGAGCTATAAGAGAAATAAATTAATAACCAATCTGTTGAAACATAACATTGCAATCCTTTTAGGTGATAATTGCTCACGCATATTTGTTTTCACTAGAATATATTGAAAATATGCGCCAATTATATTCATTATTAAACTCGACTGGTTTATTGGCATCAATATTAATGAATTCTACGGTTGTCATTGATACGTTTTTGCTAATGTCTGGGACTCTTTTAGCGTACAAAGTTTTTCGTTTGAATAAATCTGCTGCCGATAATCAGCAAAAGTCAAAAAAATTATGTTTATTACGATGGAGCGCAATTTATTTACATCGATTTGTGCGGGTTTTACCTACGTATTTACTAACATTTTTGTTCATGAAAAATTTCTTTAATATATCCGGCGATGGACCAATGTGGTCAACTAAAGGTTAACACCGATTTTCTCACATTATAGTAACATTAAAAAATGTGAAATATCGAGCTAAAAGAATATGCTAGAGAGTTCCACGGCAATAAAAGTACAAATGAGCCGCCAGCATCACCTGAATTTCTTTTTGAAGATTAAATTCTCTGCCGCCAGGAATAAAATTTCAGCATCGACGCTCCGCATTGGGCAGCAACCCACTAAGCCATTCTCCTCTCTTTTATCTTCCTTCCAACAATGTACCCTGACCCAGAGTACACCGGTGTATTCAAAACCGTTTCTCGATTTTCTCCGGAAATTATCTTACCAGCGATGACCTTAGATATGAATAAATTAAATGCGAATAAAAAATTCGTGTATATTATGAAGAATGAGCGCAATAGTTCCAATATTTTGCTATTTATAGGAGTGTTTGGTGCACGTTGCGATCAAACTGATTGGATTCTACACTTTTTCTTTATTTCCAATTTTTTCCCAAACGAATGTATGCCATGGATGTGGTATTTGTCATTGGATATGCAATTGCATCTAGTAACCCTTTAAAATTTGGCTCGAATTTTTGCTTGTTCATCTATAAGATTACCATCTATGCATAATATAAATTCTACTGGTAAACTTCTACTTACTGAGAAAAACTGATAAACACATTTATCTGTTCCTATTTTTAGATGCTTTTGTCCATAATTTAAATAGATTATGCGTTGATTTAATTATGATAATATTGACAATATTTTATTAATGAATGATAATTTATAGATTGCTCCATTTCTAATATCTGTAATATTAAAATGGCGAACAATTGGCAGAAATATTAATATTGCCATTGCGGTTGCTTCAATCCTATACCGATTAGTTATATTGATCATCTATAGGTAATTTGACAATGAATTTGGCAATTTCTCTGTGAATATTTAAGCAGGAAATGAAATGAAACTCTATAAAACCAGATGTGTGGATAGATTTCAAGAATTCGGAGGAAAATAAATAAAGTTTTAGCAGATTTTAAAGGAGAAAAAATTTAAGAGCATAATTGCAGATTCCCACCGAATATAATAACCGTTCTTATTAACAGCACTAATATCGATTCGAATAATGTTGAAAAAATGTTTACAATACTCTATGCAGTTCCACATTCCAGGATTGCACCGTTTATTATAGGTTTACCTTTTTGTTATTAACTAAGATGCATTCCAATTTTTTCCCAAATGAATGTGTACCATGGATGGATATTTGTCACTGAATATGTAATTACATCCAGTAACCCTCTAAAATTTGGCTCAAATTTCAAATCTCCATTGATATAAAGAAATAAAAGCTTATCAAAAATCCTTCATGCACATTTTCAGGAATTATACTCGGCTCCATACTATCACATAAACCAAAAATAAAATTCTCTCCCATTCAAACAACTTATATGAAAATCATTTCGTTATGTTCAACCATGTTTGCTTTATTTGGACAATATTTCCTTGATAATAACTCTGTTAAACCAATCGTGTATGGAGCTGTATTTCGGTTGATTCTTATTTATTCTTTTAATAGCACTCATCATTTCTGGTTTTGCTGGCTCTACTAGTTTCTAGGAAAATGAAATTTTTTCTCACTTGACAGTAAAAAAACATAACGCCACTTATGAAGCAATTTTCAGCAGAAGCAATAAACTACCTTATCCCACATTTATTCATCAGCATTTGGACTTTTCCTATCCAGTTTCAGCTTATTTCAAGTTTCTTTTTAAAAAAGAAATATGGTTTGGTTTGAAACGCTATAAGACACCTAATACAGACACTTTAAAATTTTTTCCAGAGCATTATGGGCGACAGGTTTAGCCATTTTTATTTGGCTATTAGAAAACAATTATTGGAAATTTGCTTATAAATTATTAGGCAATGAAAAATGGTTATCCTTGTCACGGTTATTTTTTCATCAGATGTCATTATAAACAGCAGAATAGAAAATAATATAGTTCTAAAATGTTTTCAATGGCAACTCTAGCAGTTCATTCAATGATCTGAAAATCCATGAATTCATTATTTTCATTATTTTTTATGTTTCCTACTTCAGTGATATTCGAAATTAATGTTTCTTGAATTTTAGTGTTAGTTATGGTCTCTACTTGGCGCATGAGCCACTGATCTTATATTTTGTATGGACGAGGCGAGAAGCCATTAAGGCGAGATCGCTTTTTTATTTAATCGTATTTGGTTTGGAAATGTACATTCTCTCTACAATCATCGCAATTATTTTGGCCATTGTAATAGAGGTTCATTTCTGCTTCCACTAAACAGAATAGTGAAATTATTATTTTGTAATTTATTATTACTTTAATATTAAATTAATAACTTTCCACAATAACAGATCGTTTATCAGTTAAATAAAGTTATTTTTGCTTACATTACATCAAACTTATATCACTCATGTTTTTCCCCCTCTGAATTGAATTAAATATTAATTTTTGGAAGTTCCATTGCCATTCTGATTTCTTAAAATTCTAATTTTTCAGTTTCCACCATTAATAATGGAAAGAAAAATATTAAAAAAATTGAGAAGACAAACAAAAAAATATCGCAGAAATAGAAAAGAGTCGATTTTATCTTACCGATCTCATACGGTTAACTTAATAAAACAAAGGTTTTTAATTACTCTTATCTATCTTAAGTAATCTTAAGCCAAATTTTGTTTCAACATCTAAAATTCATTTAATTTATTTCACGATGAAATTCCATTCATTATTTTCATAACTGAAAATTTACTAGCCTGCGAGGAAGTACCATAACTGCAAATAATATAGAAGTGCTCAAAGCATTGCCTACATTATTACCGAATAATCGAATCGAACAGTGGATTGAAGAAAATAGCAAAATATACCACAGATAAGTATTTGCATTAACCGATTTCTAGGCCAAGCAGCAAGCAACTAAACCACTCCACACTTCACTATACATTACTTAGTAAGAAATGTTATCTTATAAGGGCTCATACATGAATGATCGCATATGGTGATTATTGTTTCTTTTCTATAAGGGAAATCCATTCTACTCAGAGACTTTGATTCAAAGGCTTCTAGAAGGCTTGATTTTCAGTTTAACGTCAATCCGAAAAAAAATTCTATTAGTGTAAATATTGAAGTTAAAAATTCAAAAGTAATGAAATTTCCAGATTAAACCCTTGTAATAAAAAATGTTTGAATTGAAACTAAAGTTTGATAACTAACAACTTACTTACAAAACGAAAATTTGCAATTTGTACATGCGCGAGTGGCGCATGTACAGCTGGCCACTGCTCTCACGTCGAGTTCTTATGAGGCTTGGTGCATCAGTGATATTTTCCTAAAATATATGGCAAAAGAAATCGCGCTTTGCAAATCAAAGCATTTTAATGCAGCTCTCCAGCTATCAAGGCAGATTTTCCATGGTTCAACTCATTACCCAAAAGTATATAACAGTGCGGTTGCTTGTGCGCAAGTGTTATTTAAGTATAATAATGTAATAAAACTTTTCTTGTCTTAATTTGAATATGGCGAAAAGTCAGCATTGGCCTTATCATCTAATCAAATTAATCACCAGAAATATGAAAGAAATTTTCCATAGAAGAAATATTATAGCAAAGTCAGTTGATCGAAAAAATTTAGTGACTAATTACTGACTTTGATGGAACTGTGGATATTTTGAGAATATATGTGAATAATTTTTAAATATTTTTAATTAAATCTCAAAAATTACGATAATAATATTTTAAGAAGTTGGAAATTTTACTGGCATAGTGCTGCTTCCTTTTCCGATAGTTCTCACTGTTTTGGCTGGCTTCAGTGACTATTTGAGGAGACGCTTTTTTGTTAGAGGATCACTTTAAAGAGTGCAGTGGATAAACAAATATTACAATATTAATGTTACTTTACCCACGTTTCTTTGGTATTGCTTGAAAAAAACTTAAGCGACGCAAAGTTCTATAACAAAATCTCTGAACATGTCGACTGAATTAACGACCATGAGCATGTTAAAGAAATTCAAGAAATTTAAAAATTTTTTCATTCTAAACTTTCTCGTTCAAAGTATGAGGAGAAAAGTATTTGCAGTTCTGCTGGCTTCATGCCTTCCTTTAACCGATGAAAAATTCTTTCAAGTGAATCGTCTAGTAATAAAAATATAAATTATGGCCTTTAGCATCTCCCAAATTAATTAATGACAAGTTTAATATATCAGTTATATCCGATGGTGCGTGTATCCTATGGAGATTTGGTGTTATTTTACTGATCTATTCCCAAATGCTTCAGATTTCGTTCAAGACGGTTGACATTCATCAAATCCTACCCGTTTTCTTTTAAGCTGATCTTAGGTGAATCGCTAGCATAAGCCGGATTTCTCTTAAATTATCTTCTCTTTCTTCTTATGAATGAGGCTTTTTCATATTTCTCTTATATGACAAATTTATCGCAAATATAAGTGTGCAAAAATTAACAATATACAGAAAACTTAGCAATAAGAAAATTTGGGAGCATGGCGATTCCACTTCTAATATCTAGCTTCACCAAATTCCTTCGGGAATCCTTTCCACTGAGTTTTCTGTATAGTTTTAGCAAATTTCCTGTCAAGCGAGATTTTTACTTCTCCACAATATTATAATAGGCCAGCGCTTTCCTAATGATTTTCTCACTGCGAACCTCAAACTTGGGTAATTAAACCTTTATTTTAATTCTAAAACAATATATAACAACACTAATCACATAAAACAATAATATACAACAAAACAAAAGAAGATTTAAAGCAAAGCAGCCATTCTTCGACTGATATTTACCGTTAATCTTTCACGATTCAAATTCTTGGTGTTATTTAGCCGTAGCCATTTGGAGATCACTTCTGGGACCTTTGCTCCATTAGATTGGTGATCTGTTCGTATTTACAACTATTTTCACCATTCGGCGACAAATGAACATATCAGTTCAGTTCATTTTTCCTTTTTTTCATGTTTTATTTTTATAGTTTTTTTTTGGAATATTCAAGAAATTTTATTATGTTAGGTAGTTCATAAATAATCAATAATCAAATAATCAAAGCAAAAATGTGACAGCATCCTAGTCGTAAATTTCACGTTTGCGTGACCTTCAACTCGTGACGAATTTCAACAATTAAATTAAAAAGCTGATTTAAGATATTCATATTAGTGGATAATAGTAAAGATTTTGCATTAACTTTGGCTATATGTTAACTTATGTATCTGCGCTTTTTTACGCGTCTGCTGATCGGATAAAATCTTACATGAATAGAATCCGTCGCACAAATGTCATTTACATTTAGGATTTCTTTCCTTTTTTTTCGCATTGTTTCCTTACGAGAGAAATATTTTTTCAACAGATCCGCTACAGTTTTTTTCTCATCAATCCTCCTGGAATTTTTCACTAAAAAATGAAGTTCTTAGGTTGGCTATTAAATACGTTTTTCCAAATGTAATCAAATGTAAAAAAAATTTCTGGCATTTTATCGAGAATATATATATATATATATGCGTGTGGACAATTTTTGAGTGCCCATCTGTCTGAGCTGGCTGCAAGATCTCCAAGTTGTTCGAACATCGTCATCGTCACAAGTCCCAACATCGTCGACAGTAATAGATCGCCATTCCTTTTTCCATCGTCTAAGTCCATATATCGCTGGTCTCCATACACAAAATCTTTTCTAACTGCATCAGTCCAAATCTTGATTGACTCATCTGGCTTTTAACGTCATCCGTCGCAGATTTAGCAAATAACGAAACATATGCCAACCCCTGTGGGCGATTAAGAACGTGTTTAATCAGCAAAAGCGACGTTATGAGTTGTTAATGCAAGTGGTATTTGAGCAAAGGTGGATGCAATCATATGCTCGGAACAGCCATATAGCTAGACCTCCCCCCCCCCCACCAAGTTATGATTCGTTCTGTTTTTAACTTTTTATTAATTTTTTATTTAGCAATAATTATTATAAAAATTATTTTTATAATTATTTTATTATATATTTTATTATATTATAATAAATAATACAATTAAATTATATTATATAATAAATAAAATTATTTATTTTTTTAAACAAAGTTGCGAAAATACAGAAAATTTATGTAAGTGATATAAATTTATTTCTATAAATTATTATTGAACTTGTTCTGTTATATTATTATATTATATTGAATATAATATTTCCATATGATTATTAATGAGATGATTCTTTTACAATTACCTGATGTATAGCAGAATACTTTTAAATCTGGTTTGAAATTACTCGATACTATTCTTAAATCGTTCTGATATTTTCATTACTTAATAAATGATTTAGATGAATAAAACCCGCTTCAACCAGGTAAGAGGTTGGAAAAGCTAGAAAATTGTTGTTTGCAATGCCAAGATTTGATGAGACCATTCCTCCGGAAAATTAAAACTTGAGATTGCAGATCTTTACTTCAATTCAATTAATTCTTTTTGAAAAAAAAAATCTATTCCAAATACCCAAACTTAAACGGTTGCATTATCATGGCGCATGCAACTTTTCCACATTTTTGAAAGGAATATCAAAAATTGTTTTTAAATTATTTCAAACGATCCACGGAAATACAAGTGATTCAAGTGATAAAAAATAAATAAAAAATTAATTTAAAAAAATTTTAAAAAAAATAAAAATAATAAAAAAAATTTAAAAAAAATTAAATAAAATTAATAAAATCAAATTAAATTAGAAATAAAAAATTTTGAATAAAAAAATATTATCAAATTTCGAAAACCATTGCGATCCAGTGTGAATCTTTCGGCGAAACATGCAAAACTAATCGAATGGGACCAAATTCTTTTCCTCGAAGTTTTATTTGAGCATTAAAAAAAGTTTATAAGCCATATAAATATATGCTTTATCAACTCTTTTATTGTATCGCTATAGGTCTGCCAACTTTAAAAAGAAATTCTCGATGAAACACTGCAAAATAGTTAGGCGTATTTCACGGCGTTGAAACAATTATTGCAAATTCCATTATTGTTATCATATAATTACGCGAATGACCATTCAAAACTTCAGGTTTGCACAATTGGTAAAACATCGTGAACTACTGCTTATATATTCTTAGCAATTAAATGTTGTTTGTACAGAATACTCTGTGCAATGCACTGTTAAACTCGCCATTATGCTTAAGGTACGCTAGAAAATCGCGATATTTCGCAGACATTGCAAATGCACCCTCGTTGTAATTTTCAAAAATCTAAAAAAAACCCCTTCTTTCCTGAAATTGTAATAGCGAACATGAACCAACGAGACGCTAGATTCGTCTAATTAAACACAATTATTTGTTCGTCTAATTATTTACTTTTTTGGCCGATGGCTTTTTAATAAATTCAAATGCCGATGGCTTTTTAATAAATTCACGATGAAATTCACAATTTTGCTACTGCTGCACGAAGTATTTTTGCATTTACGACTTCGAAACAAAACATTTTTCCAATATGCAGTACACCCATTCGGCAACTCACGGACAAGGTTTAGCGCTTTATAAAGTCATAAGATATAGGCTTTCTGGTCAGCCATTGTTTACTCGAGACTGTCAAGCGTTCGTCCCATGGAGCCGAAAGTGGCAAGCACGAATTTTCAGCCAAGATTCAGGTGAAACTGAAAATGCGTAGCCCATCACCCGCTCCCTTCTCGTTCTACAAAATCTTTTGGTGAGTTAAAAGATTAAGGCCAAACTAAACAACTCAAAGGCCACAATGAAAAGGGTTGTAATAGGGGTTAAAAGGGGTATTAATTAAAGGTTGGCGAAGAGCATTAGTCGAAATCGAAATTCTTGCCCGCACACCCGCTGCTCACCAAATCCGCCATAGACTGCTAAGCGCGTTCTCAGACGAGATGTCTCTTCAGCAGATCGCGACGGGGCGATGCTTCTCGAACATCGAGAAAGCACGCGACCTTTGTAGCTTTCGACGACAAATCGGATTCACTGCGAGATTATATATATAAACTTAACAACGTCAAATCGCCAACTAAATTTTAGCTTTTAACGCACTTTCTGTAAATTAAATCTTTTGCCGCTTCGCGAAGGTTCTTTCCAAAATTTTACACTCATTAGCAGAAATTTGGCGTTTATGGCCAGAAAATCAGATGAATGCCGAGCAATTTTCTAAATTTTCCCCGTATCATCCGCTTTATTCCCCGAATTTTGTATCCCCACCCCAATTATATTTTTTTAAATCGCTTAGCTTCTCATTCCCCGAAAAAATGCTACTTCGCAGCTTCCTGAAATACGCTTTTTGTTTACAAATGTTTGCGGTCGGAGGCTGCATTTTAGAGTCTGATGTAAAACACTAACATAAATTCGCGGTTCATGAAGTCGGTCCTTGTTCAGCGACAGCAGTGCTGCTAATGTCGAGAAACTGAGACTTACCTTATGATTTAAAATTTTTTTCAAGATATTTTGGATTTTGAATATATTTCAAGATTTTAAGGAAGCAAGATGGATGAGGGTGAGGAGAATGCTGGGAAGTTTTCGTCTGAAGTCGAGGATTGGAGTGCAAAGCGAGATGGCACTTCTGACATTTGTCCCATCCTCATTTTTCAGCAGTCTGATCGTGGTTTTGAGGACAATGCGTCCATCTGCATGGCGTAAGATTTCAGTTTTGTTATTTGCAATAGCCGAAAAGCGAGAATTTTTATTTTGCAAATTTTCGCAGGATATTACTTCGGAAAAAATTGGATTATAAATAACATTATAAATATTAGAAATTTTAAATATCTTTTATAATTTATATAAAAGTTGTTGAAACTTATCTTTACAAAAATAAGAATAAATGTACATAAAATTTAGCGAGAATGAACCGTGCAAAGAGATTCAAGCGAAACGGTTGGATTATTTATCATGGGAGGAATACTTCATGGCGGCCGCTTATTTGGCTTCAAGAAGAAGTAAAGACCCTTCAACTCAAGTAAATTTTTGTCGTTCTCTCTTTCAAGTATTCGCTTTTTTCACAATTTGATAAATTTCTCATAGGTAGGTGCGGTAATTGTTGACAGTGACAAAAAAATCATTGGTTCGGGCTATAACGGTATGCCTAATGGGTGTTCAGACGATTTGATGCCTTGGGGAAAAATATCAGAGAGTTTTTTGGCAAATAAATATGCATTTGTTTGTCATGCCGAAATGAATGCTATCCTAAACAAAAATTGTGTATCTACCAAAGGATGTACTATTTACACAATTCTTTTTCCGTGCAATGAATGTGCGAAACTTATTATTCAGGTTTTTTATTTTCCGTCATAAAATTTAAAAATTCCATTTCATTTTTGCTTTTTAAGGTTCATTCATTGGGTTTTAAAATCATTCATAAATTAAATCGCTGTTATTAAATTTGACATGTTAAAATGATCATTTATCAGTATTCCTTAGTCCTTTAATCGTTTATAGTCTGGCATAACTGAAGTAGTTTATGCGTATGATAAAGCTAATAAAATGGAATTTATTGCTGCGAAAAGGATGTTCGATATTGCTGGAGTGAGTTCCTTTTATTCATTTTCTTTATGGTTCCTTAACGAAGAGTAACTAGTTTAAAAGACTATATTTATAAAAAATTCTGAAAATTTATTTCATTGTTCATAATTCCATGTTCAAAGTTGTAAATGAATTATTGTAAGCAATTCATTTAGATTAAATATCGCCAGTTTATTTCAAATAGGAAGATCGTTATTGATTTTTCAAAATCCTAACGGTTTTTTGAAAAGGTTGCTATCGTGGTACTAGTCGATGTGGCAAAATACGGATTTTGCTTTTAATTTTTTTTTTTTACAAATTTTCGTTTTTGTACCAGCTTATTGATAAAGAAATGAATTTTTGAAATTTCTAATATATATATATATATATATAATTCGTAAATAAGTATGAACCAATTTATATTTATAATTTATTCATTTATTTATTTATTCATATATGAGGATTAGAATGGCTCAGTGGGTTGTTGCTCAATATTATTCTCCGCAGGAGTAAAGCTGTACAGAATTAGGGTGATACTGGTGAAGCCCTCACCTGCACTTTTATCGTCAGAGGATTCATATTTGTCTAATGGAACAAGCCAGCGGAGTCTAACTAGTAATGTGAGGACTTTTAAAAAAAAATTCATGTATGAGATATTTCGATCTTTATCTATTATTTTAGTTATTCAGTGCTTTTAGTTTAATTATCCGTCAAGGGATATATGAATTATCGTTCAGGGAATGAGATATTTTTGTTTTATTTTTAATCATCGTTCATTCTGATGGCTTTTATCACTCATGATTTTACCCATTGATGAATCATGGATTTAGAGTTTTGTTATCATTGTCATTTTCTTTTTTTTTTATTATTTTAAGTTATTTAGCAATTTATTGTCTTTTTTAATTGTTTGAATCTATTAATTGCTAATTTATGTAAAGTAATTGCAACTGAAATATTTCATGCAATATTAATTCCACTGAACTGTGTTAAATTGTATGAATTCGATTGATTGTGTCGTGTCGTATCTGCAAAAAGATAATAAATTTAGCTTTTTTTTCGTAATAACCGTTTATTTAAACGAAATATTTTAATATTTTTTTTCTCATTTGGTTATTTTGCAGTCATTTTAAATTCAATTATATATAACCAGAAATATTTGTATAAAGATTCAAGACAAACTTTTATATGTGATGAGGTAACTTTTTTCTCACTTTTTTTGAAAAGTAAAAGTAAACAAGTGTTAGTGCTGACCATTTCTGGTTGTTAATAGGGTTCACTCTGCTGGCTTAAAAATTATTGCCAAAGGATCAGTAGGAGTACAGATGGATTGCTAGCATTGTCCTGATTTCTGAAAGTCGAGTTTTTTCTTGCCGCATGTAACATTCGAAATAGGAGCAACAATAAGCTGAGCCATTCTATCTCTTTCGAATTATTCTATTGCCGTTTATTTTTAAATATCGCGTGTATTTACAATTCAGCCACAACATGTAGCCAAAATATGCCATCAAGGATTGCAGTGTTGATTGTTCGACCACTCTCTCTAACAAGAGTAAACCTGTCATTAAAAAATCCAGCTGATGTTCTTATGATTCTAGCGCAAAGTGTATCCCAGGTAAAGGGCTTCTAACCATATTAAAAATCAAAGATAATAGGTTAACTAGGAAGCTAACTGCTTATCTATTTATAATTTTTTTTTTTTTTTAAATCCTCACCATTGCTAATTAAACTCGCTCCGCTGGCTTGTCACATTGTACAATACACCAGAGAGTCCCTTGGCAATGGAAATACAAGCGAGTCGTCAGTATCATCCGGATTTTTGGATAGGTTTACTTCTGAGGGGAATAGAGCCTGCGCTCCGAATTGTGCTACAACCCACTGAGCCGTTCTACTTATAAATTGAATAAATAAAATAATTTTCTTTTTTTCTAACAAAAATTTTTCCTAAATAAACAACATAACAATTATATATTTATTTCATGTAAACATTATTCGCTCTACGGTGCCCATCATGGAATTTTTTAAAATATCGCATTGTGGTATAGTATTATTATTTTATATATACTATTATCTATTAAATTTGTAAAAAACACTTTATTCTCAGAATATAGAGTTAAAAAAGGAGATTATTCGGCCTTAGTAAATTTGCCATTAAAGGCGGAGTGGATGTTAAGGATCTTGCACCTATTCCTATTTATTTGCAGGAAAGACCAACTAAATTAGGAGAATCCTATTATAATAATTAAAATGCATTAGGGATGTATTTGTATTAAATAATATCGTGGATAATTCTGATTGATTTTTAACATTAAATATTGGCGATGTTGAAATTACCTCAATGAGCAATTCGTTCCTATCGTAATTGAATTTATGGACGCTTTTGGAATGTAAAGTGTCGAGAGGGCCAATATCAACATCAGCAATAATAATGAGGTCATGACTCGATTCTAATGTACTAATGTATTAAACACTCAAATTAATCGAATAAAAGATTATGAAAATAAAAGATTACTATTTATTTAAAAAATCGAAACGCGAAATAAATTCAAGCAAATTGCTACAATATCCAAGATGATTACCTATTACCCATCATCAGAATATTACGTTATTAGAATCAAATATTAAAGATTCAAGTATATATAAATGAATAAAGTTTGCTGTCAAAACAAACTTTAAATACATAGGGTGCCCAGAAGTATTATATGACCTTAGACAGTAGAAAAATGAGTGGCTTCGGTTATTTTCAGATATTGCATAGGATCGAACCACTTAGAAGCGTCTCATTCTTATTGCTAGCACAGTCGTTAGAAGAAGAAAGGAAGGGAATACCAACTGGTCCAAATCTATCGAACATGTTGAAATCTGTGGAATGAAAATCAGATCTTTGGTGATACCACTTAAAAGACCTGTCCATTCATGTATCATAAATCCGAAAATTTCAACTTTGAGAAATTAGTAATAATATTTTGAAAATATTGAAAATATTTGAAAATATTATAAATAAGTAATAATATTTCAAAGGGAAAATAGTTATCGTAATGAAAAATTTTTTCGTCTTTTTTTTTTTTTTTTTACTGAGGCATTGATATATAACTTCTTGTCTTTCATTTTGAAAATTTTAAGAGACATCGCTGAGCCTTTAACAGTCATCTATAATTTTGCCATTGCATGATCGTTAATGGAACCTTTAAAGTTCTTAAGTTCTTTTCTTGACATAATATCAATTCAATAAATTTAAATTTGAAATAGAATTGAAAACAAATCGTTAGGCAGATTCATCCATAATGGAATAATCTCATCGCCCATACAAATTTTGCTGCTGTGGGGATGTGCCGAAAAGCGAAATTTATCCTACATTGTAAGCAGAAACCGAAGTTTATTAATGAATAAAATATTGTATACTTTTTTTAGATTTTTTTAAAGATTTCATCGCAGATACAAACGTGAATTGAGCCAAAATAAGTAAAATAAGTAAAGGGAAATATTTTTTATTTCCCTTTAGAAAAAATAAATAAATTTTACAAATAAGTTCCAGAGCAAATATCTCATGCATTACTGAATAGCTGAACATTTGTTAAAGGTCTAAATATCTTCTGTATTGCTGCTCCGGCTAGTGCCGAATATCGAGCACGACATTAATACAGCCAGTTGAATGGATTACACTCTCATTTCACTCTCATTTAATGGCTAACCACGAATGATTTAAATTTAAATGATTTCTATAGTTTTTAACGCTTCCCAAACTTCTGTGCAATCTTTTTTTCTTTTTAAGGTATGTTTTCAATATTATCTTTGACATTCACTGAATCTTTAACAAAGTGTGTCCAAAAAAGAAAATTAAATTTAAATTTAATTTGGCGTAAATTTATGGAATGTTGTTGATAAAGTAGTAGTATAACTGTGGAATAAATTTCTTCATTGCAACAAATGGTATTTATTGACGCGAATAGCGAACAAAAAATAATAATATAGAATAAATTCCTCAAATAAATGTTATGAATCAATTTACTAATCGCATATTCCTACGATCATTTTTTCACACGTTTTTTTCTATTATTTTGATTTAACAAATTCCACTTTTTTTATAAAACTGAAAAACTAATTAGCTTGCGAAATTTCTTATCTTGAAACAAATCTCATATCAATTAATGCTATAATCAGATTATTATAGTTTTTATTTATGCATATTTGTGCATAAATATTCGTTGTATGCCACTATTTCCACTAAAAATTTTTAAATCAAAAATTCTGTATGTGTCAAAATAGGCTCATTTTTGAAGTTAAAACGACTCTGATTTCGTTTATTTAATTTTTCTTAATAATTTCATTTATTTTTCAAATCATTTTTATTTGACCATTTATCAGTAATTTATGTTCTCTATGTTAATAATAAAATTAAAACCTTAGCATGCTTGGGTTTGTCGAAAGATCCTCGGATTTCAAACTAATTAACCACATCCTCCCAGAGTGCATTTTTACCAGTCCTACCTTTGTATTAAACTTCTCCAATCCATTCTCCCTAACCTACTTCCTCCATAACATTTGGAGAGAATCCTCAACATTGATTGGAGAACACAATTTCCTCAACTATTGTGAAATTTTGCAGTCTATATACTATATAACTCCAACAACTGGAATAATATAAGAGGTAATCGAATTTTCGATGTCCATATATTCACATAAATGTTTAATATTCAATTTTTTAAAGAGAAGCCTGTATCCAAACGACCTTTTCATTTCATTCATTTCAAGCCAAAATCATTTTTGAACAGGAAAATAGTTTTCATTAGCATGAAACATGAGGATTAAACCCACCACGAATTAGGCATTAATAAAATAGATCATACCCGACATGCAAAAGAATTTTCATCAAATTTTTAAAGCTTAAATTCTCCCCTTTGTCCTAAAATTCTTTTTCTTCTTCTAATAGCTCTTACCATTTCTAGTTAGGCTGGCTCCACTGGCTACAAGAGTAAGACGTCTCCAAGTTGCTCGTTCCGACGCCATTGCTAGTAGTAATAGAAGTCATTATTTTTTTTATCGCCTAAGTCCATATATCGCTGGTCCCCCTACACGTTCAAAATCATTCTTGTATCCGTTCAGGTCTTGATTGGCCCTTCTAGCTATTTTAAATAGTAAATAAAATTGGCATATAATTATATATTTATTTATTAGCTACCATTGTTACCACATACACTTAGGTCTTGATTTAATGTAAAATTCATAATACCAAAGCTTAAATAAAATGGGTACTCATTTTTTTGGTTAGACTAGCTATACTAGCTAGCTGCTGGCACGATTAGGCAGTTTAACCATGGAATCACTTGGCGACAGAAATGTTGGTAGGTCGTCAGCATCACGAGTTTTCTATGATAGGCTTTGTCAAGAGAGGAAATCGAACACTTACCTTTTAACACGAAGTGGCCATAACAAAAGCAATTTTCATTGACAATTTTCGATCGCACGATAAACATATGAAGTACTAAATATTTTATAGGATGATTTATTATCGAAACAGAAAGAAAAAAAATTCGTTTATTTATTCTAATTAATTTATATGAATGGAAAAAAAAGTTTTTTGTTCAATTATAATAAATTTCTGTGATAAATTAGAAATAAAAGCTGAATAAATTTTCGAAAACATTGCAGAAAAGCATAAACATTGTTCATCACTGCTCGATGAAAGCCTCATTTCCTTACGCTTCTCACGTAATGAAGTCCTTTATAAGGATGGTACAGAACCATTAGCGCTAAATCTTAACGATACCATCACCATGTCCTACGTTATAATTTTTCTCGTTTTTGTTGGACTAGGTAATTTTTAGAATATTTGGAGAGGAATTTACCACAATTAATATAATATTTTCAATAAACACAAATTTTTAGTTCAAATGGTCGATGCCGGTTGCAGAGCATCACGGATTTCCGATTCTGAGCGCGCCGAGATTCTCAACTTGCATAACCAATACAGAACAGCTTTGGCTACAGGCCTAGTGTCAAATAAAAAAGCACGAATGCCTCGAGGAAATAACATAAGAAAATTGGTTAATATTCTTTCCATTTTTATAGTTTTGTTTTGATTTATGTAGGCAAAAAATGTATTCTTAATTATATCGTTTCTTTTGGTTAATAGGAATGGGATTGTAATTTGGAAGCAACAGCCCAGCGATGGGCTGAAAATTGCGTATTTGAACATTCAACGAAAAGTTTTCGAAACAATGCTGGCGAAAATCTTTATGCGTATTGGAGTTCATCTGATATTAAAAGAAGTGGGTGAAATTTTTGATATATTTGAATCCGAAAGTTTTTTTGATATATTTGAATTCGAAAATTTCTCCAATAATATTGAATACATTTTAACAAATCATTTTTGCTGTTTAACGTAAATTATACTTTATTGAATTTCTGCTTATTTTACTAATATTTTAGCTGGACATATGAAGGCGGCAGCCACAGCTTGGTGGGATGAAGTCAAATTAATGTTTACTACAACAAACTTTTCGAATTATGCACGAACAGCAGGAATGATTGGGCATTTCACTCAGGTTTCTTTCATATTTAAAAAATAGACTGCAACAACGTTCAGCATTCTCACTGGATCATATACCCCATCAGATCGGATTGCCATCAGATTGAAAAGAAACAGTTCCAAGCGTTGCAAAGGAAAAAATCTTGCATATTATATATTAAACTACCAAAATAAATAATCAAAATGTAGGAGTAAGCCCAATCCCAAAATCCGGATGAAACTAGCGACTCACCTGTGTTTGTGTCGCGAAAGGAATCTCTGGCATATTTGTCTGGTCCGACAAATCAGCGGTCAAATCTAACCAGCAATGGTGAATGTGAATGAATGCCTTAAAAAACAAAAAACTATTAAAATATAAATTTTTAAATTTAATAAGTTTAAATAAGTTTTATAAGGAGATATTTGATTAATATTGTAATTTCAATATTTTCAACATATGTAAACCAAATCAAATGGCTGATAATTGTTAGTTACTTGAGACAAACTACATCAATTGAAGATAAATTCTTTCTAGCCACCATCTTTGTTTTTTTAAAGACGGCTTTCTTTGATATGACGATAGAGATAATTTGTGCAACACCTATATAGTCAGGCATATTGCCACTATTTTAATGATAGAATTTTAAAGATGGCATGGGCCGAAAGCCATAAACTCGGTTGTGGACTCGCTATTTGCCCTCAAAGCGGAAAATTTAAATACATGCTTCATATAGCATGTCATTATGACCCAGCGTATGTTCTTCTTGTTTTACGATTTATTTTGAATGTCAATTTGATTTCATTAATCAGCCTTTAATTAAATTGATTTTTCATGGCAGTGGCAATTTTATAAACAAAGACATCTACGAATCAGGTAAACCTTGTTCAAAGTGCGCGCGATATCCTGGCTCGAAATGTCAGAATAACCTTTGTGTCGGTGGTGGAGAAGGTAATTCGATGAATATTTTATTTTATTTAAAATTTTTAGTATACTTCAGAGAAAATGGTTAGTGTCCATTTTTAGTAAGACTGGCTCACTAGCTGTTAGTGCCATGAAAAATTTTTGCCGGTGGGTTCTTATCAGTTTTCCACTGATATTATTTTTATTGAAAAATATTAATTTATAACTGATATCAAACAATTGTTGCATATTTTATTAAGAATTCCTCTGATTTGGTAATCTTCAACGTTTTATTTTTATTTGTATTACCTTTTAAACATTACATTATTCAGGATATTCATTATTTTATTCATATTAATATTGCTTAGAATTTTTTTTCAGCAGTTAAATGCGAAGATTACTACAGTAATTGCGATTCTTTGAAAGCATACTGTAAGATTGAACCAAATGTCGAAAACCTAAAAAAAGGTTGCAACAGATCCTGCGGATATTGCCGACCGATTTGATTGATTAATTGTTTGCCGAATATATAAAATAGAATAAGCATATGTAAAGAATATGTTAATATATAAAGAGTAATAAATTTCATTAATTTATGTCGAAAAAATTTGAAAAAATAAAAAATTTAGAAAACTATATGCAATACACAATTATGAATAAAATTTCTGCGGATAAATTTGTTATTAACAAATTAAATTGTTATAAATTCAATTATTTATAATAACAATCGTTTTACCGCTAAAAATCTTTATATTGGTGGTATAAATCGAACATGGAAAGTTAGAAGTTAGATGGAAAGTTAGTTAGATTTGTTAAAGATGCAATTAATTACTTATAAATTAATCATGTAGAATTCTGTCTAAAAGATCGACATTAAGCAGATAAGCCTACTTAAAAATAATTTCAGAACTGATAATAACAAAGTCTGAAATCTGAAGTCTGAAATGGTTCAAATTAATGGTACTAATCCCTTGTTCTTTTTGGCTTATTTTAAGATTATCAAGATCACATATGTTTTTAATTTAATTTTAGTATTGTGCTAACTATTGCAAGATTTAATATTCATATTCATAATTTAATATTCATATTTATCTTTATTACTTATTGCTTATCTTTTCTCTATTTTTATTAGGTCAAATTAAACTCTCTGTGGTTATAAAAAAGACTAATACCCTAAGCAAATTCTGGTCTTTCATCACTTTCTATTTGCGATATTTTCATTACATATTAACATTTCGGAACTTTGAATTATAATTATAAGTGTTCAAAAAGTAGATTTTGATTTTCATGAAAGAATAATAGTGAGAAAGTCTTCCAAATTGTTAAATCTAGTGTCTGGAACATTTAAAATAATGAGAAATTTATTTCTGAATTTTAAAATGCATTTATCCTGTATAAAACCATGCAGTATAAAAAAAATCTCTTTGCCACTGTGTATGGTATGGATAATCTTGAACGTGGGACTCTATACAAAACCCTGAGAACTTGATTTCTACGCAGTACCTAGCCGTTCAAGTAGTGCGCTCTTCTGAATACAGGAGTCTGATATTGTTTTTGTAATCTGCTGAATTCACTTTTCCAGTTTAGAGATCACTCTTCCAAATGTTCCAATTATCACTGGTATTACTTTGGCCTTTATTTTCCAAATCTTATTTGTTTCCTCTTACAATCTCTGTTATTTCTCTAACTTCTTATATATTCCTTCTTTCTAACGTTTCTGTCACTTGATTGCAACATCTACCACTAGTGCTGATTTCTTCTTCTTCTCTACCATGATATCTGGTTAATTACTTTATTTGTCTTTCTGGATGGAGAAACGTCATAGGATCGTAAGATCTCATATTCGCCACAATTTTCTGAGGAATCTAATCTTGGGAGAGTCTAAGCCATATGCTGAGCAGATATCTTCAGATAAAACCAGCTACTTAGTTATACTTTTCAGTCCCGCTTGCATTTTACAACCTGTCACTATATGTTGGGCTATTTCAAGTTTTTGCACAATCTGCATTTTGTATTCTATATAATAATTTTGTATGAAATCGTATGTGATCATTTTTGTAGTCTGAACTGTAAAAATTTATAACTGAATTTTAAATTGAAGCATTCAGATCTACCAGACTGAAATTAATAAAATCCCATCTATAATACTCATTTGAAAATCTATAATTTTTTGATTTCTTCTATTCATTATATTGATATATTACCTATTACTTATTACTTTGCGCATCTTAATTTCAAAATAAACAGTTTTGCAAAATTGTAATAATAAGCATCATATTATCCAAAATAAGGCATAATGGGCAAATAATTTACGTAAGGAAATTATAATAGATGGTTTGTCTTGAATCGCTCAGACATACCATACATGACACATATTTTGACATATACGTATATAAATTTTTCATGATTTCGTTTGTAGTATTCATTTCTTTCACGGTATCTCTTTGTTATGGCCAATATGGTTATATTTTATTAGTAGAATAAAAATCAGTAGAATAAAAATTCTAAGTAACTTTGCAGTATAATAATAATAATAATAATAATCGCCCTATAATATCTGTCAGTCCATTTCTGCATGCTTATTTTCCTAATGCACCTGTTATTTTTTTCTTACGGATTACACTTTCTTGTTATTTTTGTGTTTATTCTGATATCAACTCATGACATATGGTCATTCTTATGAATTCGATATCATATTCTTCATCATTTTCTGAAAGTTTTTATTAACTTTTGTGTTGCTGGGGTTAAAATCTGAAAAGGTTGATTATGGATAGTTTCATTATTAAAAAATTTCATTAATTTTAATTGCATTGTAAAAAATAAATAAACTAGATTAATAAATGATTAACTTTTATTCTTCTTCGAATATAATGAATGATAACTGAGGCAATTATAACTCGACGTGATCAGTTAATAAATCAATAAGCGAGTACAAACAAAAATAGATATTGATATTGATACTGATAATATTCTTAACGTTCAGTTCAGTTTTGCTGACTTTAATATGCATTCATGTATAATGATTTCAAATGGGTTTAAACGGAGAATAAAGTATGATAAATTATAGAGTGATTTAAAAAATTTTATTCCTTTTATTTATGCATAGTTAAGAATAAAAAGATATCTAAGATAAATTATAAAAAAATTGCTTATCACTTAAATTATTTATTCACTTAAATCAAAATTTGAATTTTTGATTTAAATTTTTCTGGACCATTTTTCTGGCATGCATTTATTTTTTCTCTTTAATATATATGTTTTAATATATATATATATATATGTTTTTGAGAATTTTATGATGAAGCCTTTATTTGTTTCATATCTGCTGTTAGCCTACCTTAGTTCTTTCTGCTTTTTAAAATTATATCTCTTAAGTAGCTCTTAAACTGAGGTTAAGCAAACTAATTTTACAAATGTGAAAAACAGTTCTGAATCAGAGTTTCATAGTTCATGAACTTTTTATGAATCATCTCATACCTGCAACATATCCTGTTGACAAACAATGGTGTGCACTCAACGAAATTTTTTGCAAAAATATCGAATTTCAAACCTTATATCAAAAAATTAAGTGCTGGTTATATTTGCCAGTGAAACATCTGCCGAAGAAATCCAAATAAATGAGATGATACTATGTTGAGGGTAAATACTGCATGCGTAAATTTCCAGTTTTCGCAATTAGATTAGCAGAAATAAACATGAAGCCTATGGATTTACGATTTTATCCGATATGCCCTCAGTTCTTAGTCTATAAAAATATTTGTCTTGCATCAATAGTCATAAAATATTTTCATCTCCTATAATTACAAATACCCAAGTTTATATCCCTTTCAAAGCATTGAGTACAGCCTTACATTATCAAGTTGATATGGAGTTATTAATTTTCTCATAGTTTTGGATATTAATGGATCATTTTTCGCTAGCACAATTATCTATTTTCCATATTTTCTACATTCCCCATTTTAATTTCGTGTCAGTAATGAGTAAAAAATATGCAGTGGATAAATAAACAATATTTATTTCTACACAAGGCACGAAATAAATCCATGACATCCGTAAATTTCGTTAGGAACAAGATTTTTAAAGTTGTGAAAAAGTTGTGATCTTTCGAACTTTGATGCAGGAAAGTACTAACGGTAGGACATCTCAGTTATGAACACAACCACTTAAAGAAATTTTGGAATTTCCTGGAATTTTTCAAAAAACTATAGGAAATTTCTAATAATGCATAATAAAAAAATTGATTTTATTTGAGTAGAATGTATTAAATATAATTTAATGATAAAGTGAAATAAGGTTCACTATCATAAATCCGAAAATTATGAAAGATTTTAAATGGAATGATAATTAATAAATTTTCAGAAAGTCCTTGTCTTCTGAAGGAAGAATTCTATCCAAGAAAAATGTTCACTAAATAAGTGAACCATACAATTTCAAAATGTCAGGTCGAAAACCATTATGAGTATTATTCCTTTAGACCAACTATTGTTACATTTACAATTTTCACTTCTGTTAAGATAAATTTTTAAATTTATTTAACTGCACCTAATTTAAATGAATCAATTTATATATTTCTGCGAACAAAATTTAAGGAAATAATTGAAGCATTAATATATACATGCCATTTGATTTACCAAAAAATTATTTTATTTGTCGCCAGCAGTAAGAAACCTTACAGAGCGATGCGGTCAAGAAAGGTTTTTTAGATCCATTTAGTGATGTAATCTTCAAAGAAAAGAAGGTCAATTTTAGGCATGCCATGGAGCCACGAGTCGTACCATATAGTACCAGAAGTAATTCGATGGAATCATTCGAAGTAATTCGAAGCCAAACCAGCTATGCAAGTTGTTAGAAGAAGAAACAATAAGAAACGATGAAATATATTTAATAATTATTTGTTTTGAATTAATTTTAATAAGATGAAATTAATGGGTACTGTACCATATTGCCAATAAAAAAAATGTTATCCACTATCATTAAATGCAAAAAAGATGCTTCCATGGATTTATTTTTCTTCCTGTTCTCAAAATTCTTTCACGTAGACACGTTGATTTACTTAGATGAGCTTAGACAATCACTTAGAAATAAAGATATAGTATTGCGTCCTCGGACCTATAATGAGACCTATAACGACAGATTTACTTCTAGCGGATGGACGTGAGTCTTGCTTTTGATATGCTTAATTTCTGAAATCAATGGAAGCCCCCAACGATTTTCAACACTTTAAATTTAAGATCATTGGGAATAAAATATTTATTAATTTAACAGTTATGGAATAACTATTATTATAATAAAATAATAGAGTTACAAATGAATGCGATATGCTATAAAGCAATTCTGATTACACGCTAAGCATAATGAAATGAACATAAAACAAATATTTACGATTATTTGATTATTTGATCTATTTTTAGAAAAAATTCATTTATTATCAGAAAAAAATTCCTTTATTTATTTAATTTATAGGAATATTCATTTGTTCTCGTCGTAATATGTTATGATAAAGTGGAAATTAAAGCTGAATAAATTTTCTGAAATATTTCTCAACACTAAAAATCACCACCACATTACGTTTCATTTGTGATGAAATCCTTTATAAGGCCGACATGGAACCATTGTCACCAGTTAACATTCAATCAGCTAATATCATCGTAATGTCTAACTTTAAGCACATTGTTGCATTAATTCTTCTAGTCTTTGCTGAAGGTAATTTTTCTTCGTCGAACAGCGGTTATTGTTCATGGTTTATCTGGCTTTGACTATTAGTGGCTTTCAATTGTGAATTCGATTGTGAATAGAATCATAAGTGAATCTCCTTTATCACTCTGTGTTTCATTTCAAATGACATGTTTACTTCTCCAATAAAAAAGCGTTGACTGAACACTCGACTTCAATCATTACCGCTCGATTATTTTTACTTTATTTGAAAAGTGATTAAAATTCATAATTGTTAATTTATAATGGAATTCAAGAAAAAAATTAGGTTAATATTAATAAGGGCGCATCAGAAGACTGACTGTCATGATTAAACATCTCAAATTTAGCTCAAATTGTTGGTGCCGGTTGCCAAAGATCACAGATTTCCGATTCTGAACGTGCTGAGATTCTCAACTCGCATAATAGCTACAGATCAACTTTGGCTGCAGGGCAAGTATCAAACAAGATTCAGCAAATGCCTTCTGGTAGTAATTTGCGAAAATTGGTCAGTATTAAATGTCTTAGAAAATAATAAAATAGCCGGAAAAAACCAGGATTCAACCATCCTATTTTTAAAATTTTGTCTCGACTTATTAATTATATCCTTTCTTTTGGTTAATAGGAATGGGATTGTAATTTGGAAGCAACAGCCCAGCGATGGGCTGAAAATTGCGTATTTGAACATTCAACGAAAAGTTTTCGAAACAATGCTGGCGAAAATCTTTATGCGTATTGGCGTTCAACTACAATTGATCGAAGTAGGTGAAATATTTGAGTCCCGAAAGTGTGCTCCAATAAAACTAAGCACAGATAAATCATTGTTATTGCAAGAATTATTGAATTTGAAAGTTACCTGCATATTTCTAAGACATTTTGAAGGAGGGCATATGAAGGCGGCAGCCACGGCTTGGTGGGATGAAGTCAAATTAATGTTTACTACAACAAACTTTTCGAATTATGCACGAACAGCAGGAATGATTGGGCATTTCACTCAGGTTTCTTTCATATTTAAAAAATAGACTGCAACAACGTTCAGCATTCTCACTGGATCATATACCCCATCAGATCGGATTGCCATCAGATTGAAAAGAAACAGTTCCAAGCGTTGCAAAGGAAAAAATCTTGCATATTATA